CATACTGTTTGCCCATGCCGGCCTCAAACTGCGATCCTCCTGATCTCTACCTAGAGAAGTAACTGGGATTACAGGCATGAGCCACCAGCACCCAGTGCATTTCTTGAATTGCTAATGTTTAGCATTTTTTTATGTGCTTGTTGGCAATTTGTTTATCTTCTTTAGGGAAATTTCTATTCAGCTTCTTGGCCAATTTTTGACTGAACTTTGTTTTATTGTCACGAGTGTGCTTTATTCTGGGTACCAACCCTTTGTCATCTGTCTGGTCCACAGCTGACATTCTATGGGGTGTTTTGGTGTCCTTCTGAAACATGATGGGTTTTATTTTACTTGCTCACGTGAGGTGCTGGGGGTTGAGCCTCAGCCTTGCACATGCTAAGCAAGCATGCTGCAGTTTATTTTATCAAGCCTCCGTCCTTGTGCTGCTGGTTAATCTCAGGCACCAGTGGCCCACCCCTGTAATCAGGAGGCTAGAGGCCAGCCCTTGACACCTTATCACAAAAATGCCCAACACACAAAAGGGCTGGTGGAGTGTCTCAAGTGGTAGAGCACCTGCCTAGCTAGCATGAGGCCTTAAGTTCAAACCCCAGTACCATAAAAAAAAAATAAACTTTGCTAACCCATGGTGACAGAGATTTGCTGTGTGTTTTCTGCTGAGAGTTTTGTGGGTTTGCCATTTTAAGTTAATTTTTGTGTCTGGTGCAAGGAAGGTGCCCAACTTGATTGTTTTATACATGGATACCAAGGTGCCTTCCAAGGGCAGTCGGTCTGTGTCTTAAACCTCTTGCTTAGGGGTTTCCCTGCCTCTCGTTGCCACAGTGAAGACCAAGCCCTTCCCGTGAACCCCTGTGACAAACCACATCCAGAGCTCAGCAGTGTGTTTTGTCTCCATTCCAGGCGGGTCATTTCTGATCTTTCTTCCTCCTGGTCTTTTCTCTTTCCCTCCATTCTGCTATAGAGCACCTCCAGACAGTCTTACTTTCAGACTTCAGTTCTAACATTTCCATTTGGTTCTTTTTTTTTTTTTTTTTTTGAGACAGGTTCTCACTGTGTAGCCCAGACTGGTTTCAAATTCACCATCCTTTTGTGCTCAACCTCCCAAGTGCTGGGATTACAGGTGTGTACCACCATGCCCAACTTGGTTCATTTTTATGTCTTGTTTCTTTACCAAGAGACTATGTACTTTCACATTTGCTTCAGTCATGTCCATGCTTCTTATGGGAGAATTTTCATGATGGCTGCTCTAATGCCTTTGTCATGCAGTCCTAACATCTGTGTCATCTCAGTGTTGGCATCAGGTGATCAGTCCTCTCATTCAACTGGGATTTTCCTGGCTGTTGGCCTAACAAGTGACTTTCAAACGAACCAGGGACATTTGGGGACTAGAGACTCAGAATCTTATCCTTTGATAAAGCCTCCTGGATGTCTGCCCTGAGGGAATGAGGTTGCCACTTGTCACCATAGGCTGGGGATGGGAGTCCAGGTTCCCCACTTTGACTCTTTGGTACCCAGGGCTGAACAGAGTGCCTCATCCCTGCTCCCGCATGGCCTCACTCCTACTGGCAGTCACACAAACCCTCACTCTTCTCAGCCTCCTCTCACCCCTCCTCATCCAGCAAAGGGCCTGGGGGCCTAGTGACAGCATCTGTCTGACCCCAAGTGACATCGCCTTTAGGTTGTAGAATTTATGCACATAACATTTGTTATAGTTCCTCACTGAGTCCATGGAATCAGTAAGGTATTATTTCTCTCACAGTCTTCTCTCTCTAGTTTCTTAGATCATTGATTTGAGATCCTCTTTTGCAATACAAGCATTTAATAGCACTTAAAGAGTCACACCTCACAAATGCAATGCAGGGTCTTGGCCAGGTGTGTTGGTGGCACATACATGACCACTGTATCATGGGACCACACAGTGTCCTGACTCCCTGAGAAGGAATGACTGAAGCTGGGCATGGGTCGCCTAATCCCTGGGACACATGCGAATTGTTTCCAAATACAAATGAGTACTGTAGCATGGGATGTAATGAGCAGGGTCAGCGCCAGCAGTGGCAGTTACTTAGAGCAGATTCCACCTGACTGAGAGGAAGGGCCACCAATAGTCAGACCTATACAGCAGGAGAGCCAGCTCCCCTCCTCAGAAGTATTAGGAAGGTGGAGGATGTTCACCAGAATGAGAGGGTGAACCATTTGGCTGTAGGGTCCATCCCTTCAAGGTCCTGGACCACCTAGTCCACTCAGCAGATTTTCCTATTCACACACTCCCCAAAGAATACTAAGAGGTGGTGTTAGTTACACCAGCAGGGGAAGATACTGAACAAGTTGAGAGTATGCTTCTGTCATCCATGTGGGAGTTGTATTCACCCACCATAGAGATGCTTGTGTTTACAGGGCACACCAGCACCAGCTTATGTGTGCACACGCACCCATGTGTTCTGGAAGACCAGAGGCTCCTTATGATAGTAGATTTGGGGAGGGCCTGTCACTGCTGCATCACAACCCCTCAGAGCCATTTCCTTCCTGTGAGGCTCGTGACAGGAAGATGCTGTGAGCACTAACTCCTGCTGCCATCTTTCTTACCAAAATGATGAGGCCCAAAGGATAGCACTGGCCTCAGCACCAGCTGGGGTTGTTCAGGCTCTCTTGCATGTTGGACCCTTCACATTTCCCGATGCTCTCATCAGTGTGAAGATGGAGAGTATTTAAAAGCAGTCTGACATGAATATAGAATTCTTAGACCTCTCTAAAGTGCACAGCTTTGCTAACATTATGGGTTTTTTTCCATTCCATTTCTGGGGCCTTGTGCACGCTAGGCAGGCACTGCACGTACCCCTGCCGCACACTCATACTTTTATCTTTTTCTGATTTAACTCATTGCTCTTGAGGTGATATGAAGGCAGCAGGATCCATAGCAGAAAGGAAGTGCAGCTTTGTGAGGCTCTTGTTTCCCTTAATTCCATGCCTAGAAATTTCCCTAGAACTCTCCTGCAAGGAAGCCCACAATAGTCTTGTGTAAGACTGTTAGTAAACACCATAGTGTACTACCACAAAATTAGGAAACAGCTGTATGTCCAAAAATAGAAGAGTCATTGCATAAAATTTGGCACAACCACAAGATGGGCCATTGTACAGCCATTAAAATGCTTTACGCCCTGGGGCGATAGTCACAATGTTATCAGTGGGAGGTGCAGGCTGGTCACTCGCTGCCAATGGGAGTGGGAAAAGAGAGCCACTGTGGAGAGCAGCTTGATGGTCTTCAGGAAAACTGTCCTTCCTGGGTGTGTCCTGCCCATAAACTCTTGTTTTCAAGAGAAAACCTAGATGAGAAAATGCATAGCTGCATTGCTTCTGGTAACTGCAAATTAGAAACAACCTGCTGTCCTCCATGGGAGAGCTACTCTGCTTATCAACACACTGCAGTGGATGCTGTTAACATCAGGCCGTACCAGAGTAGGAGGGCTACAGTCAACAACTAGGACGATGTTGGAACATAAGCAAGTTGCAAGAGATGTATATAGTATACGTATATGACACATGTAAGGAGCACAAAGCACATGTCTATATGGGTTTAAAACACGGGGTGGGGCATGGCTCATTGATAGAGGACTTGCCTAGCCTGCCCAAGGGCCTGGCTTCAGTTCCAGTACTGGTATTTCTGAAATACTTTTCTGAAGTGTCAAAACCAAGGGAGAGAGAGGAGCCCTGCACATGAACCCGAGTGGAGGGACATGACAGCTGGACACACTGTGGTGCTGGACTGAGGGAAGGAAGACGGTAATGTGACATTCTTAGGATAGCGATGGAACATGTGTGTGGACCACGGAGCAGACAGTAGTGGTGTATGGTGCAGGTGTAGACTGTGGATTAGATCATGGTGTTACATAAGTGGTTTGAGGCTGAGCTGCAGTCTGGCTAGCTAAGGGAGTGTCCTTGTCCTGGGAAATAGGGACAGTCCATAGCTGGCTGGGTATGATGGAGAGCATGAGTAATGAAGCAAAGGACAAAGTATTAAACCTGGCATATCGTAAGTAAAGACTGTGGCTGTTCTTTGGAGTATCTTTGCAATTTTTCATGAGGAAATCTTATCAAAGTTCAAAGGTACCAACAAGCCTGAGAAGACACTATATGAAATATACTCAGTGAAGTGTCCTTTGATTTCAGCGGGGAGGAAGACCTGTGGCTCAGGCTTCAGCATATGTGTAGTAAGACAATATGACGAAAGTACTAAAATGTGTTCCTATTCCATGATGGGTTCATGGGTGAGCCGAATGTTATTAACAACTTTATGTTTGAAGTAGTTCATAAAAATAAAATTTAAAATGTAGATCATTCAATTATTAATATATAAAAATAAATTGTAGTATATAAGTGGTAGAGAGAATATTACAAAGCCTTTACTTTTTTTTTTTTTAACTCAGGGCCTCACATTTACTTGCTAGACATTTACTTTTAAAGAAAAAATGATTGGGCTGGAGGCATGGCACAAGTGATAGTAGTAGCACGCCTGCTTTGCAAGCATGAAGCCCTGAGTTCAAACTCCAATTCCACCCCAAAAAAAGAAAAATGTTCATCATGTTAAATGAATAAAGTACAACATTACAGAATTAAGATCTCACACCTTGAATCCATATGCATACATATTTACCTAGGCATGCATACAAGAAAAATGATCTGGCAAGCCAGGCTCACGCCTGTAATCTTAACTAATTGGGAGACAGAGATCAGGAGTTTTGCAGTTCGAAGTCAGCCCAGGCAAATAGTTCTATAGTTTAAGAGATCCTGTTGAGAAAAACCTATCACAATAAAACGAGGGGAGGGGGAGCTGGTGGAGTGGCTCAAGGTATAGGCCCTGAGTTCAAGCCCCGGTACTGGGAGAAAAAAAAAAAAACAGCAGCTTAAATGACCGTTTGGGGGCCTGTCCCACGCTGCCCACCATCCTCTGAGCCCTGGCCACCCATGCATGCTAGCTGCCCTCTTGCCAGGCCATGTGTTTCTTGCAGATTGGCTTCACTACAGACCCTCGGATGGCTCGCTCCTCCCCGTACCCCACTGATGTGGCCCGCGTGGTGAATGCCCCCATTTTCCATGTGAATGCAGATGACCCTGAGGCCGTCATGTATGTGTGCAAGGTGGCAGCTGAGTGGAGAAGCACCTTCCACAAGGATGTGGTTGTTGACCTGGTAAGTGGTACCAGGATGAGCATGTCCAGGCAGGTTTTCTGTCCTGCCTCTCTCTCACTGGGCACCGACTCACCTCGGGTCCGTCTAGTGCCATGCCTTATGTTGAATCCTTCCAGCTGCAGTGTGTTAAGGCCCAGACTCACTCCCCTGGCAGGAGCTGGATGGGTGAGGAGGGCCTTTCATGGGCCCGTTTGGTCCTGTCTTTAGTAAATAAAGAGCTCATACTCCCAAATTACTTGCATTTTATCTGATTACGTCAGACCAACTCCAGTGTGTGAAGGAAAGAGGACTAGATCTTTAATTTTAGAGGCAAAGCTGACATCACATGGAAGAGCGAGGGCACAAGCCCCAGAGGCATTCATTCCCGAGGACCAGACATGGTCTCTCACATCCTCTGTTGCCACTCTTGACCAGGTATGTTACCGGCGCAATGGCCACAATGAGATGGACGAGCCCATGTTCACGCAGCCTCTCATGTACAAGCAGATCCGCAAGCAGAAGCCTGTGCTGCAGAAGTATGCTGAACTGCTGGTGTCACAGGGAGTGGTCAACCAGCCCGAATATGAGGTGTGTCCTGCTGGTCCTCACAGAGGGGTGTGGCTAGAGAAGGCCACCATACGCCAGCACTCTTGGCAGGCTCCACCACGTGAAAGTGTGGGGTGTTTATAATTGTGGCATCTCAGGCCAGGTTCAGGGCACTGAGTGGCTTGATAAAGGAAGTGAGCCTTAGAGAGTGTTCTGAGAAAGAGGCAGTGGCAGGCACAGGAAGTGAGTAGACAGACAGTCCAGCTTGGGAAAGGGCCCATGTGATACGCACCTGAAGCCCTGGCTGGGTGGTGTTAGTTAGGCCCATGGACATGCTGTGAGAAACTGTTGTGCACTGAGACAGAGCCAGGGCCTGGCCTGCGCAGCGGCTGGAGGTGCAGCTCTGAGCCCAGCCCCTCGGGGGCACACAGGAATGTGAGAACTGGAGCCGCTCCTGTGAAACAGTGTAGGGAAGAACCATCGGGAAGAGGAAGGACAGAATGTTGGGGGCTTCTCGGGGTCATAGAAGGGCTGCATGTGTTGTGGAAGAGCAGGCTGGCGGGGGTGCAGGGCTGTGCTCATGCAACTGTGTGTGCCTGACCCTCAGGAGGAGATCTCCAAGTATGATAAGATCTGTGAGGAGGCGTTCACCAGGTCCAAAGATGAGAAGATCCTGCACATCAAGCACTGGCTGGACTCCCCCTGGCCTGGTGAGCAAGGAAGCACCACCTGAGATAGACAGACTGCCTGTGAACCTCACAGCACCCACAAAAAAGCTCCCACTCCCTTCTGTGCGCACAGTGCACTCTTTCAGCAAAGCCCTGCAGCCGGTCCCCAAGTACTCACTGGGGAGCTTGGTCCAGGTCCCCAAAGCCACATTAGCCTTGGCAAGGTTCCTGGAAAGGCAGAGTAGTTCTTCTGCTCTCCTGTCCCTTCCAAAGCAGGTAGCGTGCCTCAGCCTGTCCTTGTCCTCCTAGGCTTCTTCACCCTGGATGGTCAGCCCAGGAGCATGTCCTGCCCCTCCACTGGCCTGGACGAGGACATTTTGAGCCACATTGGGAACGTGGCCAGCTCTGTGCCTGTGGAGAACTTCACCATCCATGGAGGTAACCCACCCTGCACCTTCCGGCAGAAACAGGCCCAGGCCAGCACCTCTTGAAGACAGTGACCCCACTGCCATCCTTTGCCCCCAGAAAGGTCCTGTGCTTACTGATTAGCCGAGACAAGACTAAGAGGTGCCACTTCCCAGGAAGTCAGCAAACCCTGTTGCTGTGGTGTCACTGGGGCACAGCAAGGACGTAGCCAAGGAGCCTAGGCCTATAGTGCTACGAGATCATTAGGGCATGGGAAGGTGGTGGCCAAGGAGCGTGGGCCTGAATGCTGAGTGCAGTTTCTTGGCAGGGCTGAGCCGGATCCTGAAGACACGGAAGGAGCTGGTGACGAACCGTACTGTGGACTGGGCACTGGCAGAGTACATGGCATTTGGGTCGCTCCTGAAGGAGGGCATCCATGTCCGGCTGAGTGGCCAGGATGTGGAGCGTGGCACCTTCAGGTAACATTTGGAGGGTTTTCACCCTTCAGAGTCAGATGGGCAGAGGGGTGTGGTGGTTATTTTCCAAAGGAAAATTCTGAGTCCCTGATATGAACTATGTCTCCCCCGTGTCCTGGTGTGTTGAGCACTGGGCAGGGCTCCGCCTGCAGCATCTGCAGGAAGCCTGATTGCCAGGTCGGTCTGTTGGTACAGTGAGACCCTCAGTAGGTGGTTGACAGGTCTGTGCTCCTGCACATTAATCCTGCTGTTCTGCCTCAGCCACCGCCACCATGTGCTCCATGACCAGAATGTGGACAAGAGAACCTGCATCCCCATGAACCACCTCTGGCCCAATCAGGCCCCCTACACCGTGTGCAACAGCTCACTGTCTGAATATGGCGTCCTGGGTGAGTGCCCACCCCACCCATCCCTGAGCTGTCCACAGTACACCTGGCCTGCGGGCTGATGTCCTGGATGTGCCTTTCTTCCTCCTTTGTGTCTTGCAGGCTTTGAGCTGGGCTTTGCCATGGCGAGCCCTAATGCCCTGGTCCTCTGGGAGGCCCAGTTTGGTGACTTCAACAACATGGCCCAGTGCATCATTGACCAGTTCATCTGCCCAGGACAGGCCAAGTGGGTGCGCCAGAACGGCATCGTGCTGCTGCTCCCTCATGGCATGGAGGGCATGGTGAGCCCTACCCCTCCCCACTGGACACAGGGCTTCCCACCCCAGCCCTGAGGGCCCTCTGAGATGGGAATGTCACTTTAGAGGGCAAGACCGGCCCTTCAGGTTGCAGTCTTCCTGCATCCTGAGCTTTGCTGGTGGGGAGGGAGAAGTTGAGTGAAAAGAACCAGAAGTAAGCAAGTTAGTGAGGAAGAGAGCCAGCCAGGGCGGCAGGTGGCAGTGTGTGATGTGTGTCTGTTTCCAGGGCCCAGAACATTCCTCTGCCCGCCCAGAGCGGTTCCTGCAGATGTGCAACGATGACCCAGACGTCCTGCCGGTGAGCAGAGCTATGCTGGGGTGCCGGTGGTGCCCTGGGGAGGGTGGTCCATCCAGATGTCCCAAAGGGCCAGACCTCTGCCCAGGAGTGTGAGTGGTAGAACAGTGTAGCCCCATGTCCACTGATCTCCCTGAAATGAAGGACTTCCTTAGGGCACAGCTTCCTGCTGTTGCTGTCATGGGGCACCTCAGCCTGAGCTTCTAGGTGACACTTCCACTGCTTGGGTTCAGTCACAGGCTGTAGAGGAAAAGAGGTGCTTGGGGAAATGTTAAAAGAGCTCAAAGAGTCAGGCATCCATGGCTCACTCCAGGAATCCCAGCTACTTAGGAGCCTAAGATTGGGAGGATCTTGGTTCCAGGTCAAAATGTTCAGGAGACCTCATCTCAACCAATAGCTATGTGGTAGCATTCCTATCAACCCAGCTACTTAGGAGCCTGAAATTGGGAGGATCATAGTTCCAGGCCAGCCTGGGCAAAAAATGTTTCAAGACCAGAAAAAACCCAGGTGCAGTGGTGCGTGCCTGTCATCCCAGATATAGCAGGAAGCCTAAAATAGAATTGCAGGCCAAGCCAGCCTGAGCAAAAAGCAAGAACCTAGAGTGCCTCCCTAGCAAGCACAAGGTCCTGAGTTCAGTCCCCACAACTGTAGGAAAAAAAAAAAAACCTCTGAGGAAACTATTGGGAGTCAGTATCTTAAGATGAGAATTGGCTTCAGGCAATTCTGTGTCTCCAAAAGCAGCATCAGCTCCCTGCAAGGCAGTTGCTTCAGACACTGGGACTCACATGAAAGACGCTGTTCTGAGTGTGCTACAAGTCAGGCACCTGAGGGTAGAGCTGTGAGGCTTCCCGTGGCCCCTGTACCCCAGCCCCCAAGGCAGGTTACTCAGTGCTGCCACCTGACCTCTGGCCATTTCCTTCTGTGCCGCAGGACCTCATGGAAGCCAACTTCGACATCAGTCAGCTGTATGACTGCAACTGGGTTGTTGTCAACTGCTCCACCCCTGGCAACTTCTTCCATGTACTGCGACGACAAATCCTGCTGCCTTTCCGGAAGCCGGTCAGTGATGGTTTCCAGGTCTGGCCTCAAGAGTGACCCAGGGCTCCAGCCCTGCTATGTCAGCACAGGGAAGGGCTCCCTGTTGCTCTGAAGGGGCGAATATGGGCAGGACATGGTATCATAGAACTGTGCCCCACCACCACCACCTCCCCCGCCCCCCGCCACTGCTAAGCCAGGGACCTACACAGTTCTCTCCCCTCTAAACTGGGTCCTTGTGTGCTGCTGAGCACCATGTGCAGAAAGGTCAGCAGCAGGCAAGCCCCCAGCCCAGTGGGGGAGGACAGGGATGTGAAAAGGTGGTTGTGGGAGGTGTGCTGAGCACTGGAAGAGAGGTGAACCCTGACGGGAACCAAGGGGCCCCAGGAAGCAGCTCCTGAGCTGGACATTGAGGGTGAGTAGGAGTTGGGTGGGAGCGAGTGGGGAAAAAAGATCCAGGAGCGTGGGATGTAGGAGATAGAGAGCTGCTCTGCTGTCCTGGGATGCTACAGGTGGGCATATAGTGCTGAGGCTTGCATGTCTCTGTCCCCAGCAGTCTATAGATCCACAGTGCAGGACAGCTCTGGCACTGGGCTTGTCACAGCCTCAGATGGGCTGAGGACTACCTCAGAGCTGCTCAGGGACCTCCAAGGAGCGGCTCAGGGCTCTTTGGGGAATTCAGGGGCTCAGAGCAGGCTAGGACAGCCCCGGAGAGAGTGGATACCCACCAGGAGGAGGTTCACCTTTTCCTCCTCTGCCTCTCCTAGTGAGGCTTCCATCAGGAGCTCAGAGGCAGGTCATCCATCTGTGTCCTTGTTTTGACTTTCCCTCTCGCATCTTAAAGACTCAGGCCATCATGAGCATATTCTGTCTTTCAGTTAATCGTCTTCACTCCCAAATCCCTCCTGCGCCACCCCGAGGCCAGAACCAACTTTGACGAGATGCTTCCAGGTAGGTGTGGCAGATGGGCATCTGCTAGGAGCATGGTAGTATGGGGCTGCTCTGCTACCCTGCAAGGCTGTGGGTCTCCTTGTGGCTCTTTCTGCCTCATGATCAGGACTGCAGTAGACACCTCAGTGAGGCTCACATTGCAGGGTGGCTTGCTGTCTGGCCACCCCCAAGCTGTGTGTGGCAGCTACTCCCAGGCTCAGAGGCACAGGACCCAGAGCAAGTCCTTTGGGACTGAGGAAAAGACACTGGAAGGTAGGGCCTGTAAGAACCATGCCAACTGTGCTGGTATGAAGTAGGCTGTGGCTGGTTCCCGTGTGGACAGTGGCAAGCAGGTGCTCACACACAGGGCCTTGACTTGCCAGAAGACCTTCTACCACTTGAGCCGTGCCCCAGCCCTTTTTTTTTTTTTTGGCTTTAGTTATTTTTCAGGTAGAGTCTTGTGTTTTTGCCTGGGGCTGGGGCTGGCCTTGATCACCATCCTCTACAGCCTCTACATAGCTGGAACCCCCAGGGACACACCACCACACCCAGCTTATTGATTGAGACATGATCTCTGTAACTTTTTGCCTGGGCTGGTGCCTCCAGCCTCAATCCTCCCTGTGTCTGCCTCCCAAGTAGCTGGGGTTGCAGATGTAAGTGTGCAGTTCATTGTCATCAAGTACCTGTGCAGTGTGGTGAGCTATCTCTACCATCTGGCAAAACCAAATGTCTGTATTCTCCCCACCCTGGCAACTGGCATTCTATTTTCTGTCTTAGGTGGCATCACACAGTAGGGTTGAGGATCCCTTATTTAAGAGGCTGAAGACCAGAATTTTGGATTTCAAGATTTTCAGACTGTGGAACATTTGCATATACATAATATGGATGTCTTGTGTGGAATCCAAGTCCACCCAGCATGCATAGGTTTCCCGTATGACCTTGTATACATGGCCTCACATGTGAACTTTCCACTTGGGGGTGTCATGTCACCACTCAAGTTGTTAGATTTTGGAGTATTTCCAGATTTTGAATTTAAAAAGTCTCGATGCTCAACTTGTCTTTTTTGTGACTGGCTTATTTTACTTAGCATATGTCCTCTAGGTTCATCTATGTGTCATAATTTACTGTCCTTTTTGGTGAGGCTGGGGTCTGAATTCACGGCCTCATGCTTGCTAGGCAGGCACTCTACCACTTGAGCCACTACACCAGCCCTTTTTTGTGAAGGGTTTTTTCAACATACGGTCTCGTGAACTATTTGCCTGGGCTGGCCTTGAACCTCGATCCTCTTGATCTCCATTTCCCAAGTAGCCTGGATTACAAGCATGATCCACCAACAGCAGGCTCTTGATCTGAGCAAATCCACAGGAATCAGAGGCTGGCCAGCGGAGGTCTCTCTGCCTCTCTGAACCACGTGCTCTGGGCAGCACATGGCGCAGCCTGTCTCATGGACCCTCTGCTCACACAACAGCAGGGGGTCAGGCCCTGGGAAGAGAACCAGCCTGGCCTGGAAATTCTCTTGTAGGAACCCACTTTCAGCGGGTGATCCCTGAAGCCGGCCCTGCAGCTCACAGCCCAGACAAGGTCAAGAGGGTCCTCTTCTGCACGGGCAAGGTGTACTATGACCTCACCCGAGAGCGCAAAACAAGGGGCATGGAGGAGCAGGTGGCCATTACAAGGATTGAGCAGGTGAGCGTAGGCAGTACAGAAGCGGGGTGCCAGCATCATCCTGTGGGGTTTTGGACTCTGGTGCCTTAGAACATCATTTACTGGGATGAGCCTGACCTTTCCCTCCTGGAATAGCCTCCCCTTGCTCAACCCCACCCACCCTTGAATGTCCCTCTCTTGACCTGACCCCACTCTTTCCCAGCTGTCACCATTCCCCTTCGACCTCCTGCTGAAGGAGGCGCAGAAGTACCCTAACGCTGAGCTGGCCTGGTGCCAGGAAGAGCACAAGAACCAAGGCTACTATGACTACGTGAAGCCGAGACTTCGGACCACCATTGACCGTGCCAAGCCCATCTGGTGAGGCCCTGTCCCTTCCAGGAAAGCCTGCAGTACCTTCTCCAAGTCTCGGAGCCCATTCTCCACCCTCTGCCCTCACTGTCTTCCCCCCCACCACACACCACACACACACACTCTCTCTCTCTTTCTTTCAGGTATGCTGGCCGGGACCCAGCAGCTGCTCCAGCCACTGGCAACAAGAAAACCCACCTGACGGAACTGCAGCGCTTCCTGGACACAGCCTTTGACCTGGACGCCTTCAAGAAATTCTCTTAGACGCTCCTGGGGCTTCTTGGGCCACGGCCCCCCTATTCCATGACGCCCCTTGCTTCTCAACTAAAGAATAGTGCCTCAGCGTTGCCCACACCTCTGACCCTCGCTTTGCCGCACACTGCCCCCTGCTCATAGGAATTAGACTGTGTCCCCTCGAGTGCTTGGCTGCCCCTCTAGGCAGACACTGCCCGGCATGTGCTGACTCTGTCAGGCTGAGCAGCTTTGTGGAGGCCCTGGAGAGCAGGACGAGGAGTGGGAGACCTGCAGGATGTCTGGGAGAGGGCAGCTGTGGTCATGCCCCTCCCCCTTGTCATATCCTAGAGCAGGAACAGAACCTCATGTGGCTTGCTGGGTGCTGGACAACTTGTCACCCAGCAAGGCACAGATCTGCCACTCGGGGTAGCTTTGTCCTGACGGAGCTGAGCCTCAGAAGCTACAGAGGAATTATAGCTGGCAGAGGTTTCCAGAGTGGACCTCAGCTGGGGTGAGCAGAGAGGACACTGCAAGGCAGTGGGGAGGCCTCAGTCTGTGAGGCATAGTGAAGACAGGCCCAGCTGTGCAGTGACCCTTCACTGCTGCCCTTCGAAGGTCTTGGGCTACATGTGGGTACCATGCCCCACCCACCCTGCCTGGGACCAGCCAGCCCCTGGAGCCCATAGGCTCTGTGTGGGGCCCAGCAGTCCCCTTGGGTCCCACAGCCAGGGCACTGGTTGCCCCCCTGGTCCTGTAACTCCCCACCTCCTCCTTCAGGTCCCCTGTTGTCCCCCCACCATCCTGTGTCCCCAACCTCCTCCTTGGGTCCCCTGGCCGCTTTGTTTCTGCCGTATCCCTGGAACGCAAAGGAGACTTTTGATGCATCCTTTCTTTACTGTGCCAAAGGAGGTCAGAAGCTGGAAGCAGGAGCAGGTGGAGGCAGGGTGGCCCAGGGGGTCAACTGGCCCTTGTCCCTCACTTTGACCTTCACGGGGTCAGATCTATTTATTTTGGTTAAAAAAAAAAGAACAAAAACAACTTTGCATTGCATTGGCTTGGCCCATAAACTAAGTTATCCATGGCCTTTGTGCTGTCATTGTGATACTCCGCCTCTCCCCAGAAAACAGGTGTGGCCAGGCCCCCCCCTGCTGGTCTGGGAAGCAGCCCCCTCCTTAATGGACAGGGAAATGCCAGCTGTCCATTTTCCTACCATGTGATACAAGCCACAGCCCTCTCCACCCCCTCACAGGCAGCAGAAGGCATTGTAAGCAGCCAGTGCTACCCAGGCCTGTATGTCTCTGTCTCCCGTCCCTGAAACTCTCTGCCTAAAGTAAAGGGCTCCACACTGGGCATCCCTGTTTGATCCCACGTGCCTCGTGGGTCAGCTTAACAAGATAGTTCTTAGCCCAGCCAGCACATACAACCTATAGATGAGACCCCTCACCAGCATAGGCCTTCTGTTTCCCTGGCTAGGAGACCATTGTGTAGCCCATACTGAGCCCAAGTGCTGGCCTTCTTAGGGTGGAGCCTCAACCCCAGACCTGCCACCCTTCAGGCAGCCACCTGCCAGGGCCTATGTCATTAATACCTTTAGAATCTGTATGTTTCTCCTGCTGCTCGAGGGTCTCATGACTGGCAACCAGTACAGGAAGCAGCAGGTCCTAGGGTGGAAAGAGCTGCCAAGGGCTGGGCACCGGACCCCGGTGTCCACCAGGGACAAGTGGATCAGAGCTGGGTGGAGGCTGCCCTGCCTGGCCTGGGCAGGAGGAGCTTTCCAGAACAGTTCCCACAGACTCCAGCCTGCCGTCCACATGCTGACCTGGCATCATGCCTCAACTCAAGCACCTTCTGGAAAGATGGCCCTGGAGTGGCTATAGTAGGGAAGCCAGGGCTCACTGTGCTACTGAGCTGGCAGGGAGGAAGGACATCTGGGTGAGCAAAGCTCAGACTGGTCAAATGTGCTCCTGAAGTGGCTCAGCATGCTGGTCCACCAAGTCACTGGCCATGAACCCTTCCAGTGGGAATTGTGACCACAGGACAGGCTTGACTTCTGGAAGCTGCTAACGTAGTCAGGGGTCTCAATCCTCAAGCGTGTGGCCCTTAACACCTGCAAAGAGAATAGTAATTTGTAAAGGCTCTGGATGGACCTGGGAAAATCAGGCCCTGCTGGACCAGGTACCACTGCTGGCAGGGCGTCAGTGCTAAGTGACAGTGCCCCAGCGTCATCACACAAGTGTTCCCCTAGTTGATTTTGCTCTGCTTCAATGTTTCGTTTTTTTTTTTTTTTTGTGGTGCTGGAATTGAAGTCCGGGCCTTGTGCATGGTAGACAGGTGCTGTATGACCTAACCCTCAACTTCAGAAGGTTTTTTAGGTTTTTGTTTTTTGTGATTGGTACTGGGGTTTAAAACTCAGGGCCTCACACTTGCTAAGCAGGTGCTTTACCACCTGAACCACTGCACCAACCCTTTTTTTATGTTGGGTTTTTTCAAGGTAGGGTCTCGTGAACTATTTGCCCAGGCTGGCTTTGGACCGTGATCCTCCAGATCTCTGTCTCCCAAGTAGCTAGGGTTATAGGCGTGAGCACTGGTGCTGGCTCAGCTTGTTTTTAACTAGCCTCTTCAAGTGGGGAAGGAGCAGTTGCTGAAGCTCGCTGCAGTTCAGGAGATCAGTGGATGGGGCCAGCTTGTGGGAGTGTATGTGTATGTGTGTGCAAATGCATGCCTATAAAGGAGACAGCAGATGGCGTGTGGTGATGCCCTGGGGCAGTTACAGATTTAGGGGGCAGGAGACTCAGGCAGGACCAGAGTCCAGGCCTGACATGCCACCTTGTGATTTTCTGGATGTGAAAGTCCCAAAACACTTGAGCCAGATGTGAAACAAGCCAGTAAGATGATCTGCTTTCTCCTCTGGGAAAGAAGCCTCAGAACCAGACGAGAGGACTTTGGAGTCCCCTGAAGTGTGACACCTGTGCTGGCCCCACAGCAGGTGGGGCAGGGTAAGACAGGACCACAGGCTGACACCTTGCTGAAGAGAGGCATCACCAGCCCCATGAACTCTGTGGTCCAAGAGCCAGTGCTATCCAGGGGCGGCCAGGTGATGGGCTAAGGCTTCTCTCCATCCACACGTGAGAAAGAATGCTGGGAGGGCCTGTACCCCATTCCCTTCTCTCAGCAGAAATAGCAAATGGAAAGAGATGTCTAATACTACTTAGTTCCAACTGAGAGTAGAATTCAGCTGCTACTGGGGGATTCAGTGCCACACCTGGCCTGTTTGATCTCCCAAATTAAGAGACTTCCAAGAAGCCGGGCACCTGTGGCTCAAGCCTATAATCCTGACAACTCAGGAGGTAGAGATCAGGAGGATCTTGGGTCGAAGCCAGCCCAGGCAAACAGTTCCAGAGATCCTATCTCGGTAATACCCCAACACACAGACACCAAAAAAAAGGGCTGATGGAGTGGCTCACGGTATAGGCCCTGAGTTCAAACCCCAGCACCACAAAAAAGAAAAAAGACTTCTAAGAGTGAGAGCCAGAGTCCTCTCCAGGATGCTTGCAGGGGTTACTGTGCCCAAAGCCCTATAGCCTCACCTTCTACCCCTCTACACTGCCCCACCCCTGCTTGTTGGTCCCCAGGTTCCTCTAGGCCTGTAACTACAAGTACCTGTCTTCTGTCTGCTGCAGTGGAAGGTCTTGTGACCCCTGGAAGCTGCAGAGACCGTTCCCTTTCCAGTTCTCCCTGCCCCAGAGCTGACCCCAGTATGCCCTGGTCATCTAAGAAAGCAGTCCTGGTGAGAGGTGCTAAGTGAGCAGCCCAGGTAGCCGGGTGTGGACAGCTGAGGGAACCTGGGAGAGGTAAAACAGGGCTGTTCCCTTTATGCTGGTCTTCCTACTTTTTCCTCAAGGACAACTCTACTGCCCTCCAGAAGTTCATCCTGAAGACCATTTAGCATTGAATTCCACTGAAGGGTCTGGGCTGTGGGTCAGTTCTGCAATTACCAAAGCCCAGTGCCAGGGAAGGAGAGTAAGCAGAAAGCCTTGTGACTAGTCTGGCATGTCCAAAGCCCCTGGGGGTGCAAGGAAGTAGTGGTGTTGGATGGAAATGGGCAGGTGGAAACTGGGGACAGAAGACAGGTGACAGGCTTACCCCACTGCAACTCAGAAAAGCAGGCCATGGTAAGAATGTCAGAGAAGCCACAGGATATGTGGATCAGAGCAGGGAGTCCCTTCTGCAGTGGGAGTCCTGTAGGGACTGGGTAAGACAGTGGGAGAAGGGGCACAACCAGGCTCCCGTGCACCCCCAGGTCTCATCTCCCTGGATTTCCCTTGTTAGGCCAGTAACCCTCACCCACCTCATGCTGGTTCCAGGTCCATATGAGCTGCCCTGAGACTACAAGGACCTTCAAACTCAGACCAGATCCTGTGTCCCCTGGAGAAAGCTAACAGCTCACCTCCCCAGTGGAAGTTCACATGGGGAGCCCACTCCATGGGCCAGCAGACTGCCCAGCAAGCCTGGCCTCTTCACACCCTTTGCCTGTGACCCTCCCTTGCCCTTAGTGAGGAGCCCAACCCCTCCTGCCACTGGCTCAGCAGGTGTCCCCCACATAGGCCTATGGCAGGGACCCCCTTTGGCCTCTGGGATGAGGGGAGACTACTTTTCTGTTGCATTCCTACCATTAGAGGGGTCAGATATACACAGGGAAGCCAACAATGCCAGGGAAAGGAAAGAGAACACAAGGTTCATGTCTGCAAGTAACCCCGGGCTCCTTCCTTCCAAGGTGTAGCACCACCCCCACCCCCAACCCTGGCCCCAGGCCATGGGTCTTGCCTACATATCCCAAAACTAACATGGGCTCCCTCAGCACCCCTTCCTGTACCTCATCCAGGACATACTGCACCTGCCTCACCACTAGGTGCTGGGCACAGAAGTGGTGTAAAAGACATGCACAAAGGAGTGCCCCTGACATGCTAAATGGTCAAGGAGCCAGCCATGCACCGTGACTCATGCCTGTAATTCTGACTACTTAGGAGGCTGAGATCAGAAGGATCATGGCTTGAGGCCAGCTGGGCAAATAATTCAAGAGATTCCCCCATGTCCAAAATAGAACAAAATGGGCTGGAGGAGTGGCTTGAGTGGTAGAGAGTGCCTGCTTTGCAAGCACAAGTCCCTGAATTCAAACTGTCCCCACCCAGCTGGGTACTCACTGGCCTCAAACATGTTGACTCTGGAAGATCTAAGAGCCCTCTCCTTTTCTTAACCCCTGCACTTAGGGGACTGGTCATTTCTGCTTCCCCACAAGGACCCCTAGAGCCAGAGCCCAATTTCTCCACTCTTGGTGGTTTTCTTGCCTCTGTGTGGCCCCTATCCCCCACCTTGCTCATTTTTGGCAAAGCAGAAAGATGGCTGTGTTGCTTGTAGCTTCTTAGCTAGGACTCAGGATTGAGATGTCAGGTTTCAGTTCTGAAGGGATCTTGGGCACTCGCTGATTACCGAGCTAACTGCTTAGTTGTTGGCATTTTGAGCATGCCTTTAGGAACCTGGCAAGTAGGCAGACAAGGCAGCACACACACACACAGATGCACACATGTGCCCTGCAGACCGTCCATACCCACAGGTCTGACTTGGTTCCCAGGAAAGCCCAGTGTGACTCCAGCACTGGTGCTTGGTTTTTGGATGGGGAGTGGCCAGTATCCAGCCCAGGTGCCTGGAGAGCCTGAGCAGGAGGGTTTGCAGATCCCATGCTACTGCCAAGGGATACAGGGTGTGTGGGGCCCTGCAGGCAGGAGGCCATGAGCATATGGGAGCACAGGCCGCATGGCATCAGACATGAGGACCCCGGGGCTGGAGTATACTGTGGGGGTTTGCATTGAGATCTTGTGATTTGTGTAGCCATGAAAATGAAGAAAAAAGAAAAGGGTAGGAGATACAGGGAAGTCAGGGTGAAAGCAGTGGCCAGTGCTGTCCAGCTGGGTTTAGCCATACCAGGCCCTCTTCACTGGGTCAGGATGGACAGAAGGACAGGACTTGGGCCCCCTCAGTGTTGCACTCAGGCTGTAAGGAAAGGCCCTCTTTGGGTCAGTTAAT